CCCCTGTTACGCGCCTGCTTATAAGTGGGGCCCCCCACTTTGAAAAACGTTCCGCCGGCCCTGTTAATTTATTTACTGTAATTGAATCGTGGAGCAACGAGGTATACATAGGGTTTTTTAATGGTCTCGGGGAAAATGTCAAATTTTGTTTACAACAGTTGAATAGTACATTGCTTGTATTTTTAGTAATTCAACATGGTAATATTAAGTTATTCTAAAATCAACGGTCGTAAAGCAGACAATTTACTATAATGCAATATACTTACTGTAATACATTTGCTGTTGTCTTAAATTAAAACACAAATGGATTATTTAAATTTCAAATAAATAGAAAATTAACTTACCAACTGTTGCAGGTACTGTATATATTTTTGGTCTAAAACTGGCCTATCCCTATGTTCAATTGTTTCAAGCGCGGCCCTGAGACTAAACCTTTTGCTAGTTCTGTGTTGGAGAACATGTTTGTCATTGCAGCACACACCAGTCTACTTGCATGTTGGCTTTTTTAAAACTGCATAATAGTCCTTTGAGACAAAATGTATCTAGTGCAACCTGAAAATAAAGAAAGTTCTTAAATTAGTAATGAACAAATGTTCTTTATACCTAGGCTTTTCAATACAATGTATTTCAGCAGCCAAAATGCATGGGCAACTGATTTTTATTTTATACATTTTTAATTTCTTATTTAAATCAAATACAGTATTTTGTTAAAAACCCCTAATTTGGAAGTAGATTTATTTTATTCATAGTTTGTAAACTAAACAAGAAAAATTAATCACACGAAAATCAATCTGGCCTGATGTCGAGTAATTTCGACTCAGGCCATAATTTTAACGCTAAAAATGCAATTCATATAGCAAGGCATATTTAGAATGTACAGTGCTAGCGAATGTTTGGTAGGAATTTATGCTATATTACTAGGAATAGGCTAGTAGTACTGGTTTAGAAAGGCTAATCGATCCTAAAACAACTTTAATTTTTAGTGCAAATAATATATATTTTAATTCTTACAAAATGAAGATAAAATTTTAGGTTTTGTTTTCATACATTTAGACCTATATTACATATCAAAAGATTGAATAAAAAAAAATAATAAAAACTTAATTCCACAATCGAGTTAACGGCCGTTTCAACCGGACCATTTAGGAGGTCAAGCCTAGCAGTCGTATCCCAAGGCCTCCTACCCCGAGTTTATTTTTCTGTTTAAGTAGTGGGTGGGTTATGGATTGGAACACTATTGATTGTTTGTACCCCTACAAAAAAATTCTATAGAATTCTTTAAAAAAAAAAACTATAGAATGTCTATAGCATAATTGTTTAGAAAATCTATAGAAAATTCTATAGAAATAACTATAGAAGCCCACTATAACGAATATTAAATGAGATGCATTGTACACGAGCTGATAGTTAACAGCCTTTCTTTGTTCTGAAACAACTTTCTCTAGTGTTGTTTATCTGATGGCCTTGTATTGCCACATGTGACTTAGCTTGTACTAAGTAGTTATAATGAAGAATGCCTTTGTATTATGTTACTGGATATTTTACAGTGAGCTGGCTCACTGGATGTCCTTTTTTAATTATTCAACTGTTTTTACATTGTTACGAATTATACATTCAATTATATTATTATCACAGGCCATAGTATGCTGAGTAATAATTCAGTAAAGCAGTGAACTTGAAGTGATGATTCATGCTTAGTTCGGTCAAATTCATGTAAGAATTATGTATTATCATTTATTTTATTGTATTTTTATATTGTTACTTTTTTACAACAATTTGCCTTGTTTATTGATGAAAAGAACTTCAGTAAGATTATTATAAAGTAAAACGGTTGGTTTATTGTTCAACCTGTCTCTTATACACATCTAGATGTGTATAAGAGAAGTCCATTGAGTTACAGTACCTTGAGACATTTCATTCATTTATTGCAATATATTGTGCTTTAATCTGGTAGCATACTCATTGAGTAATATTTTTATATTTCATTTCCATATACTTATGATAATTATCCGATTTACCGGTGATATATTTGCTATTCTTTCTTTGTATATTGTAGTCACCAAATTCGAACACCAAGAAGCTAATAAAGGTGCAGAAACATAGATTAGTTGTCCCGTGTTGTGTTTGCGTAGAGTGCCTTGACCTATAACAGAGCGCCCTCTAATATCCAACCGGCTCCAAGTTCCAGAGCGGTTAATATAATATATATTTTAATTCTTACAAAATGAAGATAAAATTTTAGGTTTTGTTTTCATACATTTAGACCTATATTACATATCAAAAGATTGAATAAAAAAAAATAATAAAAACTTAATTCCACAATCGAGTTAACGGCCGTTTCAACCGGACCATTTAGGAGGTCAAGCCTAGCAGTCATATCCCAAGGCCTCCTACCCCGAGTTTATTTTTCTGTTTAAGTAGTGGGTGGGTTATGGATTGGAACACTATTGATTGTTTGTACCCCTACAAAAAAATTCTATAGAATTCTTTAAAAAAAAAACTATAGAATGTCTATAGCATAATTGTTTAGAAAATCTATAGAAAATTCTATAGAAATAACTATAGAAGCCCACTATAAAAAGTCTATTAAAAATCTATTAAAA